CAAAAATATATAATCATTAAAATGATTAGATTGCATTTTAAAGTATAATTCAGATACTCCTAATGCATCCTTTTAATAGAAATATTGTCTCTAAGGATCTTAAGTAATATTCAATGGAGAGAAGGAAAAGAAATTAGTCCCTTAAGATGCATGTCACTTAGACTGTTAGCAACATGCCTGGATGAGGGTGACTGCCTGCCAAGAACCTGGAACTCACAGTCAAGTGTAACAGCTGATGAGGCCTTCAGCAAGCCATTTCTCAGAAAAACAATTCCTCCCGCCTGCAAAATATGTGCTTTTCAGAATAAGGCTTTAATAAAAGCTCCAGGTAAAACCATGTTATTAATGGTAAAGAGCTGCATAAATGAAAGTTGTTAGGTACTGAAGTGGGAGGAAACAGAGTCTGGATAGAAATACGTGTCAGCTTCCCAAGGGCACATGGTGGTGAAGAACTATGTGGATCTGAAGTTAATTCCTGTATTACCACTTACTAGAGGTAAGTGGAACCTTGGGCAAGTGTTTTAGCTTCTCTGAGCCTCAGTTTTCATCACAAAGCCACCCATCTCATAGAGCTGCTATGAGGTATGTCAGTTAACCCCATTAGAACAACGTCTGGCACAAGGCACACATTCAGTAAATGCTAGCTAATGGTAATTCAACCAAATAGGTACTAGAAAAATATTAGGGCTACAATAATAATGAGTCACACTTCCTGAAGAAGTTAATGACCTGTTCATTCATTCAACACCAAACCAAAGTCACCAAGCAGAGGCACTATATGAGACACTGGAGATACAGAGATAAACAAAACATGGCGCTAGACTTTGAAAGTTCAAAGTCTGATGGAGGAGACAGACGTGTAAACAAATAACTGTCATCCACAGACAGTGGTATGGAAAACTGAGACTCAGCTCAGGTTGGAAGAGGCCTGGCAGAGGTGCCAGCATTTGATCTGAGTTTTGAAAAAAGAAAAGAAATGCTACCATCCTCAACAATCTCCTGGGCTACTGCAGTAGCTGTCTACATGATGGCCCTGCTTCTACCATTGTCCCCTAATGATCTGTCCTTCACATAGCATCCAAAGCGGTTTTTTTAAAAAAAAAACAAAAAACATATAATATTCTCTTGCTTCACATCCTTCAATAGGATGTGTAATCAGGACAACCCAAGCTCCCTATCAAGGCCTTAAAAGCTCTCTATAATCTGGCTCCTGCCTGCCTTTCTGTATCATTCCCTTTGTTTGCTACTTCCCCCCTACACTGACCTTCCTGTCCCATGAACGCCACATTCATTCCTTCCTGAGAGCCTTTGGACGAGCTTCTCACTGCCTGAAGCGTGTGCTCACAGGTCTTCAAAGCTCTTCAACGATCCCTTTCCCAACTTTCTAATCAAAATTAGCTTCTTCCCTTCCTAAACTGCTATCGCATTACCCTCGTTCATTTTCTCAAAGCATTCACCATCGTCTAAAATTGTCTTGTGTGTATGCTTATTTGCCCATTTACTGACTATCTGACTAAAATGTAAGCTCCTGGTGAGCAGAAACTCTCCATCTTGTTCACTTGAATAACAGAATAGCAGAACGCTCCGCCCAAAGGTTAGATGACTGTCCCAATCCCCCAAACCCAACGGCCTGAGGCACCTCTCCTTTAGGTGCAGTCCGCCCATGCAGACAGCACTGAGTCTGAAGCAGGGATTATCCTGAGCAATATCTCCTAGCACACTGTCCCTGCTCTACTGCCATAACCACATTCTGAACCCAAAGAGGGAGACATTTGTGACAGACTAGGTGTTACCTAGCACCCAGAGACAGGCACCAGATGTCTGAAAGATTAAAAAAAAAAAAAGGTACAGAGGAAGCAACTTCCTCAGGAAGCTGTGAGGAGGCCCTGGGCCCTCAGGCAGAACATCAGCCACTGAAGACCGCAGCAGAGTGACACCAGCAGACCAACACCGTGAGGATGCCCACCCCCCACACAGCTCGACCCGTGGCCCTAGAATTGCAAGAGGCACCGGAGAACACTAATATGAAACACTGAGTGCCTATGACTCACTTTATGGTTTCTAATTTCATTTTGCTCTTCTGGGAGTTTGACTTGCCCTTTATGTTGGCAAGTGCGAGAACTAGTGGTGACTATACAACCATGATTGTTATCTTCAGTTTTGAGGTAAGAGCTTGAGATATCAAGAGAGCCAAGACATTGAGAGCGAACTGGGCCCTTTCTATTACAAATGTCTTTATCCAAAGGATTACATGAAATAAAATGCAGGTGTGGCACATTACAAAGAAGTTATAAAATTCATTATAGGTAAGGCTCTTAGGTAGAACTTAAATTTAATCATGCAATTATGTAGATCCCAAAGTAGAACGCTTCCAAATGGTTTAACCCTGTAAGTGCTACATTGAAATGTGATTTTTCCCGTTATTGTTCATCACCAGGGAACAGTGACACCCTGGGACAGGAAATTAGAAAGAACAGTTAATGCTAACAAGGCATGATAGTCCAGCCCTTCTTGCACTGGTTGCTTCTCATCTAAACTTTTTTCCGTTCAATATTTAATGAGATGCTACCATTGCACTAGGAACAACATAAAATAAATCCCTCTAATAAACCCCTCAAAGAATTTATAATCTAGCAGGGCAGAAGAAAGCAAATTCACAGAAGCTATGAAATAAGGCAATCTCAGTTTAGAGGCTGGATAGGCAGCCTTCTAGAGGAAGTTCTGGGACTCTTTCCTGAGGAAAATGACAGTGACCTAGAAGATGGGTGGATGTTGCCAGCACAGAGACCACCGTAGATAGGACAGCCTCAGTAAGGGGATACAGAGAGAAGACTGTGGACTCAAGAAACAACAATCTTATAGTCTGGGGCACAGAAAGTTGAAGTCTAATCTCTAGCCCTAACTGGTTTGGCTCAGTGAATACAGTGTTGGCCCACAGACTGAAGGATCCCGGGTTCAATTCCTGGCAAGGGCATGTACCTTGGTTGCAAGCTCAATCTCCGGCCAGGGTCAAGGTGCCTGCAGGAGGCAACCAATCGATGTGTCTCTCTCACATCAATGTTTCTCTCTCTGTGTCTCCCTCCCTCCCTTACACTCTCTCTAAAAATCAATGGAAAAATATCTTTGGATGAGGATTAACAACAACAATAAAGTCTAGACTCTAATTTTCTTCTCTTCCTCATATTACCTCAGACCCAATTCTCAATATGTGTGTGGTAGGCTCTAAATCATATTTATTCAATAAATTAAAAAATTAATCCAGAGAGAAAATAATGAAATCTATTCAATTTACTTTAAAGTGGCCGCTGCAATGGGTATTCTTGGGCCATGGTACAACTCTTCATGGTAGAAATCTTTGGTTATGGGCAGATACTTGTATTGTCTCATTAACAATATGGGAGCATTTAAGGAGAGTGGGTAAGGGTGTGAATCTTCAAATTTGGAAAGTTTGAGAAAGTTGTTGGGCCCAATACTTTGTGGATGTTAAAAAAAAATGAGGAAGACTTGTCTATAAATCAATTCTACTATGCTGCAACCCCCCACACACAGAGTCTAAGGATTACTATAAACACAAAAGGCCAGGTATCATGAACCTTAATCAGTGATCCAAAATTCACTGCTTTAAATGCGGCAGCACCTGTAGCTATAAGCTTCAAATTCACATTGCTCTGGGGTGTGTCCTCTTGTTTCATAAAGTGTAAATTTCACCCCTGCATTTTTATCCAGGACACATGCTAGTGAACACATTAACTTTTTCATCCTGCATACTGACACTTAGAGGTTTATGAGGTTAAGACATGGCAGTTCTTCACAGCGTTCTAATGTTCTTCCCTGATGCGGATACCTGGTTCTCCCCAGTGTTCAGACATTTCATCCTTATAATTCTATATTTTTTTAAAAATAGATACTCAGGCATCCTCATATATTCAGACTAATATTCATATACCCACAGTAACGTACTCTAAGTAAATATCCCAGGGGACATATACCTTATAGATACCTAATATATACTTAATATGAGCAGAAGAGAAGGGAAGAGAGGTCATTTAATTTATAAACAATTATGTTTATAGACCACTAAGCCACTCAAACCTAACCACGATAGACAAAAACCTAATCATTAAAAAATATCCATTGAGAGTTTATTGTGTATTTTGTTTTGAGTTATTTTCCCCTCTATATTCTAGGCCACCTCTGCCAACAATAGCAATGAGATTACATGTAGACTTGCTTTCAGCTCTCAATACTTATGAGCTGCAAATGAAAGCTCTACGATGGTTGACATACTCTCTTGTCAGCATGACGTAAAAGCAAGCAGAATAGTCCTACCATTAAGTGGGGACGGGGCAAAAAAAGGTGGGTATCTTAATGCACTAACTGTGAATTAGTCTGTATGCAATGCTGATGCTAACTTTTAAGAATAAGGGTGAAGTAAGCAGCTTACTAGAATGTAAAAGAGAAATGTCGCTGGAAGAACCAGAGCTAAATGTGAATCAGAAGTAAATTCTGTGCCAATGAGCTGTTCGTTGACCTTGCCTTATAACCACCAATCAAGGCTTCCTGTTAGCCCTGGGCGATTTTCAAGAAAACTTAATGAAATACTTATACATCCAAGAAACTTAAGCCCAAACCTGAGACAGTAACTAATTTTCTAAGAGTGAGGGTGTGATGGTATCCCCTGCACCACGTGGACACAATACAGAAACTTGTAACAAACATTCTCCCAGAGATGACAGTCATTACCATTCCACCAGTGTGCAGACTGACACGGCTACAGCAGAAACTTCACCCACATTTCATCCCAAAGTTAGTAAAGACTGGAATCTGGTTGTTGTGTGTTTTTTTTAATTTAAAAAACAAGGTCAGCGCCTTCAAGTTTGATTCTTGAATAGTAAGCCATTTCATCGCGCCAGGAGTTTTGAAGTGAACACATCTCATCTGTAGCCCCTCACCCCCAGCCTACCAGAGTCTGCGCAAGTGAACCTATGAGTCTGTCTTACCTGTAATCTGACTCTGTCCTTGTGGATTAAAAGGACTTGGTGCAGAGTTCAGGGAGGGCCGTGGGTTCTGAGGCGGGACACCTACTCTCATACTGGGATGAGGAATGCGCCCTAAATCACTGAGGCGGTCAGAGAACAAACTAGGTTTAGAGTCATCAAGCTTCTGTCTGTGCCCTGGAAACAGCAAATCATAAAATAAAAGCATATTAATTAGCTGAACAATTGACCATGCTAAATAGATATGTGAACATACATACTGAGGGTTTAAGCCAAGGAATTATCAATACTGGTACTCATAATGTAGTGTCTATATAAAGCCTTCCGTTTCAAATAGCTTTATCAGCATCATCTAGTGGCAAGCATTGCTAGTTCTGTTCTGTAGTGGAGAGCTGAGGTCCCAGAGGGTGACTCAGAGTCAAGCATCAGAGTGAGGCCAGGACACTGGAGCTCACGAGGGACTCTCTGGGTACCTCCTCTGCGAGGATGGGGAAGGTGAACATGCTCTGGGGTGTGTCCTCTTCTTTCATGAAGGACAAGACCTCCCTGAAAGTTCAGAGAGGCTGTGCCCTGACAGCTACTACCCCAAAGTTGGGGCAGAAACAGAGACACACACATTTGTCAAAGGGAAATTTCCATGATGACTATAGTGACTTTTTCTTTTTTCTGTTACAATTAATGTCCTACTGAGACTCTTTTTCTGAAAAATCAAAACTCAATCCTAGAACCCCTTTAAGGGGAAAAAATAGAAATATAAATAAGGAAACTCAAACTCTCAAGAGGAACCTGGATACTTTGTGAGATGTCAAAGCCTGAAAGCATGTAACAACTTGTGTTAAATCACAGCTTTTTTTATTTTAAATCTAGAACGGTGGCTTTGTAAAAGATCGAAAAATATCCTTTGGGTTACCATGTAAATGTGATAATCCATTATTTAAAAAACAAAAAATTTTGTCTCTCTTCTAGTTTATTCAAGTCTAAAATCCAAGGAAATCCTAAAATATTGGAAATGTACAAATTAAAAGATAACTAAGGTTCTAAGACTTCTTTAAAAAGACATCAAATCATACTTAGTAGAGTACAGTACTGTCTCGCTGCCACATTAGTAAAGTGTAGACCTGAACAGTGACGCTGTTGTGAACAAGTACAATAATGCCTAATACATAAACAGAAATATACTGTGGATTCTTCTTTCCATATACCAGTGATGCCCTAGCATGTTGCCCCAACATTTTAGTAAAATGTTAAGTAATTGAAGCTGATTTAAAGAGCCGTTAAGAAGACTAGAATAAGTCTTTCCCCTTTGATTAAGGGGATGAAGTTTAATATCCATAAAAGAAAAGAAAAAAAACCTTGAAGGAGGATTATTAAGGACCTTCAAGAACAGGAAGGTATATTCTATGGGCAGCAAGAACAACTCATCTTCCACTTAGAACAGGACAAGAGGACTGTATCAGGATAGGGTTAAGTTGAACATTAGAATTTCCCAACTATAAGCTGTCTTCATAAGACAAATTCCTTATTTTATTTGCCCCAAAATGTATTTTCCTGTCTCCTTTTTCATTGCCTACCCAGCCCAAAGAAAACAGATAGGAAGCCAAGGCTTGGTAATATGAGTGTAGCTGTCTCCCCAGCCAAACATGTTCCAACGAGACCCATTAACTGAAATGCACCCACCACCCTATTTCCTGCCAGTGCAAGTTTGGGGCATCTGCTATAACAGAGGGACTAAGGCTAGGAGAAAAATGATCAGAAAAATACTAGGGAAACTACCCTTTGGGTTACCATGTGAATGTGAGATTTCACATTGTTTGTTGATGGCTGTTTTCCCCACCATTTATGACTTTTTATCCAGCTTACAAATAGATTTTAGAACTCTGACGAGCTTTTAGAGATTAAACAGCTCCTAGACCCCAGCAAGTAAGGTATTCATAGATGAAGTGACTGAGCCCTACAGAGGGAAAACAACTACCCTATGGTCCTCAGATACTGACTAGCGAGGCCTGAACCAGGGTATGGTTCTTGTCTTGGTTGACTAAGTTTTCCACTCATCACGTGGCTCTACCAATGTTGGCATTCTAGTTTTTTTTCTTCCCTTCCTCTTCCAGCAGCTGTGGAGGACTGAAAAATATCCAGATCTGCAGAGTGAGACACCTAAGAACTAAGCCCTGTGAAGTGTCAAGGCTGGTTTTCAAAGCAAGTAGAAGCAGCAGCAAGGATTCAATTACAAAGTTAATAGCGCACCCATTACCCTAAACAAACTTCCATCAATACATCTTGCTGTTTCTAACTAGCTTCACGATTAGGGAATTATATAGGACTTGTCACAGTTAAATCTGTGGATTCTGTTCCTTGCAAGCATACAAAAAAGTATTGGTGTGGTGTTGATACAGCTGTAAACATTAACAAGAAAGCTTATGGAATTGTCCCTGGAAGTTATTTTTTTTAATAGGCCATATTTTTGGAATGGCAGATTCCCTGAGGGCTAAGGGGAGGGCTACATGATCTTGCATGGCTCCTTTATACAGTGGGACTTTATGTGGGCCATGGGTCACAAGAAAATTTAATAAGCTTTACCTCTGCTTTCTACAGCCTTTTCATTGGGTTTTCATGGAGACTGCATGAGATTTGAGCTCAGTATATGGATGTGTGAGCACACTTTTATTTTCTCTTAGCCTGGTGCTTCAGGGGATTAATTGGAAGTCATAGACAAAAATAAAGGACTTGAGAAGCACTTACAAGCGTGAAAAATTTAAGAGCAGGTGAAATTTTAAAAGCCTCAATGACCTTTTGGAAATTATCTTTGAAGGTGAGCTACCAAGTATCTACAGACACCCTAGAGCCGCGGTTCTCAACCTGTGGGTCGCGACCCCTTTGGCGGTAGAAAGACCCTTTCACAGGGGTCGCCTAAGACCATCCTGCATATCAGATATTTACATTACGATTCATAACAGTAGCAACATTACAGTTATGAAGTAGCAACGAAAATACTTTTATGGTTGGGTCACAACATGAGGAACTGTATTTTAAGGGCCAGAAGGTTGAGAACCACTGCTCTAGAGTAACTCAGGGGCCATCTACCTGTGGCTGCAGATATACAGAAAACACACGTTTCCCCTTGTATACGTTTGCTCCTGCACAGCCACCACAACCACAACAAATTCTTATAGGACAATGAAGAACAAAAGCTGAACAGATCCTCTGTCTCTCAAGCGTGACAAATACCCACCAGCACTACACCACATCAGGGTAACACTGGAACGATTGGCTGAGAGAAGATGTACGTAAACCCTCAGCCCCCAAGCAATGCCCTCAGAAATGGAGGACACGGAAGACAGAGGGCACACTGGCTGTAATCAGGGACAGGTGCTCTGCCATGGTGTAAGGAGAATCTAATCTCAACCACACAGCCAAAGGCTGGATCTTCCAAGCAGGATAAAGGTATAAAGAATGGAAAACTCTTTAAGACTATTTAAAAGCTCAGTCCTAGGCCCTCTTCTATGGGATCCTCTCTACTTTCTTCCTTGAGCAGTGGCTCTTCCACCCTAACTGAATAAGAAAACCCTAGGGAGCTTTGAAAATATGACTGTCCAGGCCCCACATCAGCTCAATTAAATCAGAATCTCTGGGAGTGAGTCCAATGGCCAGCTGAGGTAGAGAACCATTGCCCACTGTGATCTCAGTCCCATGCACTCAATGTACCTATTCAGGCCAATGACTCCCCATTTCTGGGGTAAGCCCTGACCTCTGCCCCAAGTTCCAAGTTTATGTATCTCACTGCCTACTTGACTTTCTCCTGGGATGTCTCAAAGGTATCTTAAATACAGTATATTTAAGATAAAATTATTTATTCTTCTATCCCCAAAAAACCTCAGTTCCTCCCTAAAAGTGCCCCCATCTCAATAAAAGTGGCACCAGCCATTCATCAATTATCCCTCACTCCCACATTCAATCCATTACCGAATCTTGTCATTTCCATCTTGAGAGCATTTCTCAAACCTCTCATTTCCAATGGTACCACCCTAGTCCAGGAACCCATTATCTCTCTCTCTCTGGTCATCCGACACTGTCTCCTTTTCCTCTCTTATCCTTATGAGAACCTTCCCATATTCCTGAAATGTTCTCCCCGGATTCTTTGTACAGTCTTCTCCTTCTCATCCCTTAGGCCTTGGGGTGAACACCAGCTCCTCTGAGAGGTCTCGCCTGCCTACTACACCCAGAGTATGTTTCCTCCCTCTCAAATACACCCTCTCTTTATTTCCTTTATAATTAGCTTGTGTATTTATTTGTCTCCCCTGCATGACTGTAAGTCCATGAGAATGAGTGCTCTGTCTTGTTTACCGCTGTATCCTCCAACAGTTCAGTGCCTGCACATACAGCAGGTACTCAATATTTATGTAATAAATGGATGAATAAATATTTTCTTCTTTTAGATGAATGTCTTGGTTGAGAGGAAATATTTTGGCCCAGAATATCATATTACAACCTTATCTTTCCCCAAAAAACACTATTCTCATTTGGCAATCTAGTGGGTCCAGTGAGCAAAGCCATTCTTTAGAGAGCGGCCTTTATTAGTACTTCCTAAGAAAGTTCCCTGAAAGACATTCAAGTGAAAGCTTACTTGTGTTCTTTCTGAAAAAGTCTCATTTGCCCTCTCAATAATTCTTAAGCATTGTTGCAAGTTATTTTGAACCAGAGGAATAAAAAAGACAACAGAAATAATTTAGACTCTAAATCTTAGAGCAATGAACTTTTTTTATGGATGAGGACCCTGAGTCCCTGAGAGGGGAAGTGACTTACCCAAAGTCACATAGTTAAAGGCAGGGTGAGAACTCAGGTTTTTTGGTTGTTGGTCTAGCCCTCTTCCCTCCCATTGCCAACAAGCTTATTTTAGATTCTAACAGTGAAGTCTCAGTCATTCAGGGGAAAGCATGATCACAAGTGAATTTAAAATGAAAAAAAAGTTTTCAGAACAAATGTTCCTCAAAAAAGTTGAGTGTGTTTGACTGAATGTGACTTTTGTTGCAGTAAATTCAGGGGCACAAGAAGAAAGCATGATCAAAAAGGTCACAGCATTCACATATCCTTAGAGCAAAGACCTATGAGGGACTGCTAAGCCAGGAAGCAAAAGTCCATCTAATCGTCCCATTCCTCCCCACCCAGCTCTTTAGTCCAAG